TTTTGGGTGTACTATTCCTTTAACCTGCTGGAGGACATACTGACTACTTTTCCTCACCCAGCTGCATTTTCCTAATACTCTCAAAAGATTACTATAACAAACTTTATACACTGTCCCTTTTTTCCCCCATAAATGGAGAATTATTTCTGTTTAGCTATGGCAGGGTTCCTACAGCATAAGGCAAGTTAAATTCAAGACTTTTTAATGCTACTTGAAATAAAAATTTAAGACCAAATTCGCAAGAAAAACCCTCATGTGACAACTTAACCCAAAGGTTTATTTTAACATAAACCACTGCACTAATGTTTCAAATTTTGAAAAGCTTCCCATACAGGAAGAAAGCTTAAAACAAATGACATATATTTTAACAATTATTTAACTGAATTCACAAACTTTGTTTTAGCAGGGAAAAAAACAAATCAGTTTTACAGCCACAACATAATCAGTGCTAAGTCTTTTTTGCAGCTATTTTTCTTTGTATCGTTTTCTTAGTATGTTTGATTTGGTGATAAGTGGAGGCGTTGCAGAGACAAGGGTGGAACAAAACTGAGAAATAACAGCTGTTTCTCGGTAACTCCATTTTGACGCTTTGTGTTTCGCATGTGCGACTCCACTGCCTTAATTCCCTATCGTTCCCAGCTTGAATCGCTTCTTGCACAAAATACACTGTGCCTCATGTATGTTTCCTGGTTTTAGCCATGGAGAAAACTCTTAGCTGGATGGCAAATTTTCATTATATTTACACTTGCTCATATTTTCCAGACAAAAAGTTAATGGCGCATCTCCCAAATGTTCCGCAACAACGCTTTTATTGGTTCCACTATCGGGACGGAACCAATAATGGCGAGCCGTTATTTTTTATAAATAAAAAAGATAATAATTTGTCAATTTTAACGTTTTATTTAGATTTTAAAAAATTATAAAAATAATCCTATTTATGATGATTTAAAAATTAAGACATACGAAAGACTGATTTAAGACATTTTAATACCAATTAAGGCCTTACTTTTATTTTGAAGAATTCAATGCCTTATAAGACTTTTTAAGGACCCGTGGGAACCCTGTATGGCTCCTTCGAAGGGTCAATGGTCTGAGCTGCTCTGCCAAATCTTCAGCAAACCTGACTCCATCTACAGCAATTAAATGAGCTGTTAAAAGAATAAATCTATGTACTCAATTTTCCATCTTACTGATTTTGAACAGCTGTATGGTCAATATTTTATAATTAAAGGTAAAAACCAAAACAAAACTACTGTAGACTGTCACAACATATAAGGAAAAGGGATTACTGCAATGTCAATGACTTGATGCAAACTGAGTGGTTTTGATGGACAAATTTACCAATTTGCAAACCTGATCTTTACTGCAGTATTTTATAATTTGGATCAAATTGAAATGATTTTACCCGGCTGATTTTGTCTGCATGATTCAATCACATAAACCGATAGACCTAATGTGCAAAAGTAACCAATGATGGAAAGATCAACTTCATTTTACCCACTGAAAAACATTACCAAAGAAGTTTTATAGTCAATATTTTCTTTAGATCCATACTCCGACTTCTTCCCACAATCCAAGACATGACTGTTAGGTTAATTGTTTTCTTTGGTTGTGATCTAATTTTAAGTGGATTAATTGCACATATTTATATACTTTATTGGTTTCTGTTCATTTTGAAGATTATAACTCGTAGCAATTGAAAAGCCCAAATTATTTAAAAAATATAAGGAAATTAAATGTAAAAAAATCTTTGTGAAATAGAAATTCGATGTTATTTGTTAAACAATCATAGAAGAGACAGTTGTCCAGCAGATTCAGCCTTCGTGAGCAGGGTAAGGTCATCGCTAATGAGGTAAACAAATCAGGTTGTCTGTCCTTTCAGCTGCTCCTGTTTTCAGAGGTCACCACAGCAAGTCATTATGGTTTGCTCAGAGCCTTGGAGAAGTTTTTACGTTGGATGCCCTTACTGAGGCAATGAGGCTTCATACTACGGTTTCCCGCATTACAGCTCATAGCTCTATATTCAAGCATATTAACAGAAATTTAAAAGGAAGAAAATCTTGCACAACCATAAATGATAATCTAACTGATTAGAAGCGCTTTTATGTCCGAGTGTGTGAGTTACCCTGCTTTTGCTCGAGCTTTGGGCCCCCAGAACGCCTGAGGATTCTCCTGGAAACGGGTCAAATGGCGTTTACGGGACTGTGGGTTTGCATCCTCTCTGACTGTGAAGCAGGCTTCAAGGCTAAATACAAACATTATAAATACATCAGGTAATCTGATTGGACAACAGTTATTCCAACACTGATTAAAAACACCTTCATAAACCTCACCTGGGTTCAGTGGAGAGGATCTTAAATGCAGGACTGGTCTGAGACAACTTCTCCCTCTTTACCGGATTTGATTTCTCCTAACAAAGATGAGAAAACAAAATACATGATGGATTCTTTTAGACGGATTTCTGTTGAAAGAGAATAAATCAGAATTCAGATTTGATTTCTGAACCATCTACCCAGCATCGCATGATGTCCCAGATGACTCCAGAAGGAGCGTCTGTCTTAACGCCGTTTTTACAGGCGTGAGAGAGAGAAACCCTGTGACCAGCATGAAGGAGAGCCGACCTGCAGACAGATGACATCACATCATCAGTCCAAGACCAACGTGGGGCTGCAAAATTAAACTATCATATCCTTACAGATTAAGGCAGATTAGATCAGTTGATCTACTCAGAACAGAATATTTTAGATACTTGTTTTAAAAAAATAATTTTGTAATATTAATCTTACTGAAAATCTCTCCAAGTATTAAATGATCATCAGGAAATCAATTAAAATAAACTAATATACTAAGAATAACAGGGAGGAAAAAAATGACTGAAAGCTGGATGGATACAGAGAGAAGAGGAGCTGATGGAGCTGAAGTCATGGATGAAGTCATCATGTATGGATATGTGAACAGGTTTACTTCTCATATAATCATATAAAATATCTGAGGGCAGCTTAGAATTCAGAATATTTTTATACTTGAATTCCTCCTTCAAAATAATCCAGAAAAAAATCCCTTAATGCATCATTACAGTAAAATATAACTTAAATGTATATAATTCAATAGTTTCTAACCAAAAAAAATCCTAATTTGCAACTTAAACATAAATAACTCCAACCTTTAATGTAATTGGGGCGTACAGTTAACCAATGGGGGATATAATATGCAACCCACCGCTTTCAGTCACAATTGAACAACGTCTCTAGATGCTAACAATTTTGAATCTCCTCAATAAGATGACAGGTTTGTTTTTCTCCTTTATCTACTTAAAAAATTATCATATGCGCTTGTCTTTGGGGCTTTAGTAGACTGCTATGCGTAATGCTAATTAAAATAACCCAGGAACTGTGAACAACAGCATCTAAGGCTACATTCATACTACAGGCCTTAAAGCTCAATTCTGATTTTTTTTGTGAAATCGGATTGTTTTCCGTTGTTGTTCACATTTCCAAATATATGCAACCTGTATGTGACGTCATAAGCGAGCGTGCTCCGTGTTTATGGAAGTAAACATGGATGGTAGTGCTGGAGCGAATCTAGCGATCTTTCCTAACCTCAGCCAGTGTATTAACAACACAATCTTTTGCAAGATGGTTGAAAATAATCACACCATTTACACTACCCTTGAAAAATGGATCCATGCCGAGACCGGTCTGAGCTCGATCTGCGGTATTACTGCCAGTATTAAAGGAGGAAATCAAGCAGTTGGTGGTGGTAATGCACCAAAAGTTGTTTGCCAACCACCACAAAACAAAAGAAGTATACGACGAAAAAGGAGGGAATCAAGCAAATCAAAATGGCGGCGCCCGTCACATTCAGAAAGTTATGCTTGATTATTATTGCTGTAATTCGGTTTTTGCGGAGTGTCAGGCGAAGACGGCAACTTTTCGTGGATTTACTTGAGAAAGTCGGCTTTTGTTTAATAGTTGTTGGTCTTCTGTTTTGTGTTGGTTGGCAAGCAACTTCCGTAGGGGCATTACCGCCAACTACTGGAATGGAGTGTGAATCGGAATGTGCAGCCAGATGGAGATGATGCGTTCTGCTCATGCGTTCTTGTTATCAGAGAACCGAGCCAGGGAAAAACCAAGCCGAGCCCACCTCTGGAACTGGTCTGCAGTTAGCGTGGTCCAGTTGTGTCTAGCTCGGTTCAGTTCAGGTTGCTTTCCATTTACACACGATAAGTTATCTCAGTTACTGAGCTCGGACCAGTCTCGGTACGGTTTTTCAAGGTTAGTGTAAATGAGGGAAATGACTGCTCTGTTCTTTTTCTTGCTGTTTCTGCATATTAACACCTAGAATAGTGACCCTTGTCAGGTATTAATGACGAATGCGACCTAGCCGTTCACACACAGGTCGCATTTGAAAAGATCAGATTCGTATCAAATTCAGGACCACATAGCCAAGCGGCCTGGGTCGCATTGGAAAAAAAAAAATCGGATCTGTGTTGTTCAGACCATCATGAAAAGATCAGATCCAGGTTGCATATGGACAAAAAAATAAATAAAATCGTATTTGGGTCACGTCTGGCTGCTTTGTGAACGTAGCCAAAGGCAGAGCCTACCTGAACTGGAGCAGAGACGGAGTATTACAGTGTATCGTGCTGCTCAGATTGTCCACTGTGTAGTAAAGCGGCACGTCTTCCAACTCCTGAAACAAACATAACAGAAAGCATTCATCATTCAGACTCTGATGTGATCATGCTGCCTGATAATCTCTGGAAACCTACCTCGGTCACCATGCTGAGCATGCCCTCAATACGTTTAGAAGTTCCAAATCTAGAAGGGTTCCCCGACACGGCGGCTAAAACCTTCTGAACAAACTCCAGGTCGTGGATGGCTTCAGCCCAGATAGGACCACCCAGCTGCAACAGGCAACCCACAGACTAAGTGCAATAAAACACATGTTTACACAGCAATTACCACAAACCAGCCTAGCTCTTCCAACATACCGAATCAGCTGTTAAAACACTTTGGATTACTTTCCTATTTAGTAAACATAAAGAGAGACTAAAAGCTGAATGTGAATATCAGTGCGCTGATGTGTGTGTGCCACCTGGTGTCTCTGTCCACAGTGCTCACACTCTGGTCCAACGGGGGGTCCGGTGGCAGCAGAATACTTCATGCTGAAACCACAGAATTCCACTTTAACACATAAATACTTGCAGTGCGATAACAGCACACATGGCGGGGAGAAATAACACTGAAACAGTCAAAATTATTTGGAAAATCTGACAAAAGATGCATGACAAATGGAAGCTCTTTAATAAACATGTACGTGTTAGAAAATCAGTTTATGCTTGCAGTGCAAAGAAAGTATCAGTTCTGCTTTCTCAGATCAAATAATTAATAAATACTCTCCAAGGACAGAGAATTAAAGTACGTTCTGGAAATCAAGGGTGATAGAGAAGGGGTGAAGTTCTAGCTGGAAGGTTTAATATTTCAGAGGAGGTGCAGACCTCCCAGGTCGTCTCTCCCACTGTCAGGAAAAAAAAAAGGTGGAGCCCTGAATGCATCAAGAATAAGCTGCAAGAACCACCAGGCCACAGCACCAAGAACAAGAGAGAGAGAGTTGATTCGTGTGGATACAGGTTTCTGCTGTCCTCAACTATTCAGCCAACTCCTCTGTTTACTCATCAAAGCTTTACAACCAGAGCAGGACTGCGATCAGACTTACTGTTTTCCATTGCTAATTCTTCTGCCCATCCTCTGCATGTGGAAGGAGCCACAGCCAACGCAGTTGTACACCAGAGCCTGTTTACTGCGACACGGAGAAACGGACAGAGGGAATTTTTACATCATGATTGTTTTTATTCGCAGTGATTATAAGAGTGAACGGCTTGTTTATATTATTCTGTATTGGCACTGACTGAATTGACCATCCGTCCCAAACAGCTGATGCTCTTACTGTTACAGCGCTAAATGTTTTAGCTGTTAAAAAGGTGTTTTTTTAAATGTTTATTGTCATTTACTGTTAAATTCAAAATTCCTTCTTATCTTCTTTTTTTTTGCTTTCAACACTTTGGTCATTTTTTATTTTTCTCATGTCCAACAAGAACATTTGATCACACACCGTAATATAAATTAAATAGTGAAATCAATAAAATAAATAGAAAAAATTAAATGGTTAATAATTAAATAACTTAGATTTAAGATTCTTTTTTTTTTTTGCCCTTGAGTGAGAAAAAAAAAAAGCAAAATAATAAGTTAGGTTTTAGGAGCTGCTTTATTGTTAGTATTGTTTGTTACAGGCAAGCAAATTCCCAACTATTAGAAATACCAAAAATTATTACATTTAAAGTATTTAAACTTGGTTTAAAAAAGTAGGGCCCAATTTAACTAATTTGTTTGTTTTTAAATTATCTTTTTTTCCAACCAAAATTTATTTTTTTAATAGTTTATAACAAATCTGGAAACATCTTTAAGCAGAGAATTTAAAGAGGCAAAAACAAAAAGTTAATTAAATAAATTTAATGGGACTAATCTGAAAAGCTAGATTTCAATTAACTGGAATTATTTGAAAATAAGTGTGTTAAGCTTCCATTAAAGGAAAGGATATATAAAATGATCTAAACAAACCTGCTGTAATGAGGATAAAGCTTATTGGAGGAACACACTTTTCTATTTGTTATGTTTTTCAGTGTCCTCATTTGGGGATCTCAGGTTCTGCTTCCCGGGTTTGTTTCAGCAGTGGCCCAGTTTCTCCATCATTCATCTTTCATCATACAGCATATCCAGCCTTTGTTCACAGAAGGTTTCCATGTTATGCTGTGTGAGTGAGACAGAGAGCGTACCTGGCAGAGTTTTTGACAGTAGCCTGTCCCGTGAAGACTCTTACAAAGACTCGAATATAAAAGTCGGCGCTGATGGACAGCAGCGGCTGGATGTAGCGCTGGTACACTCCTGCCCGGTGGTCCAAACTGTGGAGGATGATACGAAGAGCCTGCAGAAGAAGCAACAGGTGACCACAGCTGCATTCTACATGATAATGATCACACCTTGATTTAAGAAATCGAATTAGTTTAAAAGCTTGTTTTTTAAAAGAGCGAATCTAAAACACTTCACTTTTACTCTATTTAAAGGCAAAGTGGAGGGTGTTCTTTTTCCAGGTGGCTCATCTAAATAAGTGGTCCTCCTAATTGCCAATCATTCTGGTGATACGTCTACGTAAGGCCGTCCTACGTGCTCGTCCCCATCTAGCTATCTTTTTGTATGCATGTGCACTTTTATGTGGTGAGCTACAGTGTCAGCCTGTCATTGAAGCTCACCTTTCTCACCACGGTTCTTTGAAAATGGCAGAGGGTCGTAAGAGAAAAGTGTCTACGAAGTGAATGAGAAGAAGAGAAAGGCATCAGAAGAGAGAAACAAGACCAGAGTGTTTTAGGGAGATTCTTTTACACGATGGCGTATACAGCTTCCCACTGATGCCTCAGCTGCAAAGTACTCGACAGGTAAAATTTGGCATGCTATTTGTAGAAATTCATTTCACATCACAGCAAGTAAAAGTAATCTAACTCTATATTGTTACTTTCCAGGGAAGATAAGTTTATTCATTCTGTAACTTGCATAGTGAGTAGATATACGGAGGCCAAAGATCCTTATTTAACATAAACCAGTCCAAATTTCCACTGCAGCACATGCAGACATATCATGTCAAGATTTTTTTAATCTACTAGCGGTCTTATTTGGAGGGAAAATTTTTCTATATAAATATGGGTGAAATGAGATCCATCCGAGTGACTGTCTTATCATTGCGTCCCTGCACCTCCTTGAGTAGAAATAGCTTGTGGGCACTCTCGCAAGGTTTTAATAGGTGTCCCCTCTCAGGAGCAGGTAGAGGGTTAAGCGTTTATTTTATATAAATAAATTTTTTTACATTTTTCCAAAATTTGCAAAAATCCTCCACTATACCTTTAAGTAACAACAAAAACAGTAAAACGTACACTTTCATCTCAATGATCGAGCAATTAAACTTTTCCAATAAAAACACAGCTAAAGGTGATTTTCATCATCATCATCATTTAGTATAAACAAGGAGGAAATTAGATGCATTTCTCTAGTGTCTTAATCTTTGATAATAACTATTAACTCAACCAAGCAATATTTTTATTTTTTAAATTTCAGTGAATGAATCCATCCTCAGAGCCCTCACCATCTCATGACAGTATTTGGCTTTAATGGAGACTGAACCATATTTGCTGTAGCAGGTTTCTCCATTGTTTCCCGCCATCACAGCCATGTCTGTGCACGTTACGCACAACAGACCTGAGAGAGAGAGAGAGAGAGAGAGAGCGAGAGAGAGAGAGACGACAGCAAAGACAGCAAGTGAATCTGGATCAAATCTAGCAGGGATATCAGACCTGCAAAACTGTTTGTCCTGATTCAGAAATAAAATATGTACAATAATTAAACAGCTGATTTCAAATACTTCAAGGTTAGAAAAAGCTGATAGATAACTTTCTATAAGTCAACAAAACAGCCTGTGTTCAAATTATCTTCATTAAGTTTAACGGCTGATATAACAATAAAAAAGTGCCTTTTTAAGTCAGACACAACCAATTTATTATGACACAGAAAAAATAAGGAGCAGGGAAAAGAAAAGATCAAACTTTTTACGTTAAGAAAAGTATGAATAAACTGCTAAAAGGTGTCCCTAGATAATAAAGGAAGTTATGGGAATTTCTGGACTTAAACCTACAAATAATCAAACTGTTTCAATAAAACATCCTGTGCTCAGGTCAAATGTGCCAATTGTTGACCAAATATTTACCAAAAACAAAATAAAAAAATTAATTGCCACAAAAAATTCACAACCTGAAAAATAACTGATTCCCATTTAAAAATGTAAAAACATATTTGTTTTGGTAATCTTTTCAATTTAACATCTGAAGAGCACAATTTATAGAATATTTGCATGAAGCTATTTGCTACCAAAAAAGGTGAAGTTTATCAGAAATATTCTCATCCTGGAAATAAAATTCTACCTTTTTTCAGTTGGATTTTTAAAAAGTAATAACCGCTTTCTGTTTACATTTTTTTATATACTTTAACAGATCAATGAAATCAATTATCCATAAATGAATACAGGGTTACCGGATCCTAGAGAAAGTAAAACATAGGTACATGACTAAATCACTGCTGTGTTTTCTTTAAAAAAAAAAGTTTTTTAAGTTATAAAATGACACCAAAGCAGCCTTTTAAACTCACCTCCCTCACTGACAGCCTGCACAGCTGCATCCAGGAAAACTGCAGGGCTTCCGTACGGATCCAGATCAATGACATCATATCGCTCTTTCTTCCCTCGCATCTCATACATTAGCATGCTGACCACCATAAACCAAGGGATAAAAACAGAAAATTTATATTAGCTTCTTCTGAGGTTAAACTTTGACACTTTTAAAGAGAGAAAATGATGCAGAGCTAAACAAAAAAAAAAAGGCATTATTTTAAAAAATCAAGATGTGTAAAAAAGGTGCATTACATCATAAAGATAGAAAACCTTCTACAGTAATCTATTACTGTGACTCATCAGGGGCATCAGAGTCCAGAATAAAGAAATAGTCTGTTACCTTGCATCCCTGCAGCTGGCCTGCACAATGTGGCCAACTCCGTTGTACTGGGCGTTCCGTCCGATCAGCGCCGCCGCTTTGGTGGAGAAGTCGTTGGCGGTGACGCTCTGCAGGCCGGGCACCTCGAGGGCAAAACGCACCGAGCGCAAACCGGAGGCTGCAAGGCCCTCCAGGATACGAAGACCGTTCTGAAAGCGAGCCAAGTGAGGAAATAAGCCAAGAAAAAAAAAAGTGTTTGCCACTTTCCTTATTTATTTTCTTTATTTTTGCATCTTTAATCACACTGAAGTGTTTCAGAACATCACACAAAGATTCCACAGATAAACACAGCATAGTTTTTAAATTAATGTTTTTTTTATTATTATTACAGGAAAAATTCATTGATTATTTCTAAGCCTGCAGATGCAGTCGGCTCAGATGTATTAACCAACCCCAGTTAGTTCATGCCACTGGGGGCACTGGTCTGTGTTCTAAGGCAAATCCAATTGACTCTCATGTGTTTCCATTCAACTGAAATTTGAATTTTAGGCAAACTTTAAAAGCCTTTATTAAAAGATGTTTTGATTTGAACCAGGCTGTGTGTATTTTATAAGACCCTCCTAATGAAATCAGAACAATCGTAACACTTTCTGTTTGATCACCCGTTCAGCTTTTAATGCTTCATCACAGCTAAAGAGATTCAAGATCCATCAAAGTACAATGTTCATATAAATATTATTACATATTTACTGAATTCTGGACAGAGGACATTTCTTGCCTACCTCACATTTTTCTCCAACTCTTGCTGTAACTTCTTGTGCACCGTTTTTCTCCTCCATCTGTATGTCGGCTTCGTTCGTGTCCTCTGACAGAGAGACCACCACCCTCTCTTTTTCTCCAGGGATGAGTAACTTCACCCCACGCTGGGCCATCAGGTCCCTGGCAAACTCTGTGATCACAGCACATCTGGAAAAGAAAAGGGACAAGATTTCTTCTTCATGAACACAGAGCCAAAGAACATGAAGCCCTTTCTCTCCACCATGTGCCTTGCTCCAATAGTGCATACGTTAAATCCCTGTTGAACTCCTGGACTGGGTTGTAAAACACCTCATTTGCGTTAGGAAACAAGATGGCAGCCTTTCCCTCTTTGACAACAGTCTCTCCAGGTAACAGGTTCACAGGACATGGCTCCTCTGTACCATGCCTTGTTTCTGACGCATTCCCAGCTGCTGGAGATTCAGCTGATGTGCATGATGGCTCATTGGTGGTAACCTGAGCATCCATAGAGCTCTGTCTCCACCCTGAAGCGCCGCCAGCAGCACTCCTCCAAGGAATCGGTTTGGCTAAACAAGAGAGAGGAGGATGCAGTCGGAAGGAGTTGAAGCAATGGAGCAGCCGGGCTGTCCACACCAGCATAAGGTGCAGCCTGCAAAAAAAAAAAAAACCAGACAATTCAGATTGTAAAAGCATGTTAAGAGGACCAATACAATCGGTCTCTTTCTTTTACCAATGTTAAAAAAACAAAACAGTATGACTTTTCTTGGCTTGTTTTTAAAACCTTATCTATAAAGAAATTAATCCAAACCACAGGGAGTGGAAAATAAAGCAGCATCAATAAGTTAAGAAAAACAAATATTGGCCAAAAATATCGGCCAGACGATACATCGCTCTATCTTTTAAAAAAATATAATAATCAACTCATTTAGTAATTTCACAATTGGTTACTGGAGTACACCGATTGTGAAACACGTTTTACCCACCCAGAACAATCAATCAGACAAAACTGTACAAAAAAACAGACTTTTTGCCTTCAAGCTTATAAACTCTCATCATCTTAAAAAACAAAGATGGCAGCTGTTGCAGATGATGCAGATTTCTCTAAATTGATAAGTCAACTAGGAGAGGTTTAGCTTTCAGCAGTTCTTGTTTTTAGCAGCAGACACTTCCTTTCCTACCAATGTTTGAGCGTCCACCAAAGACATGCTGTTATTTCATTAAAATTAATCATTTGTTACAATTTGTAACTTCATCGCCCATTAAATAAGGATAAGTAGTTAATTGTGAGCCACATTAGCCTGTTAACAAGATTTAAAAATACATTTTAGGAAAGGTCAAACAAAACAATAATTTTTATATATATATATATATATATATATATATATATATATATATATATATATATATATATATATATACACCAAACGCAATATTCATTTCCCGAAAAAAAAAAAATTAGCATATATATAGTATAGTATATAGTTTGAGGCAGTTATAACTTTTACTGCCCTCCAGCACTGTGCCTCTCAGCAGAATCATTTCGCAAAATGTAATTATTAAACAAATAAACAGTCAAACCAAACGGGGGAATATCTGATTACTACATAAAGAAGCTTTCAAAGCAAACAAACCATACCTGGAGTAAAAATAAGTTCACTAATCCATTCTACGTACATTTAGCTAGTCCGCCTAAACAAACATTATTAAGCGTTTTTTTTTTTATTAATTTCTAGTTTATTTATTTTACCTGTGACACCTCCGCCAGTCGGAATCTCTTAATCAGGTTTCTAACTGTCCCTAATCTTCCACCAAATACAAGTATCCTACTGTGGTTTATCTGCTGCGTTGCTTGGTTCTCTCACACTAGCACATGGGGGCAGCCATGATTGCTCTGACTGAACGGAAGCCTGCGCGGTTCAAAGTCGATTTAGAAACACAAAGAATCCGCTTTTCTGTTTTTTCCTTCGCAACGACATATTAACAGGCATACATATGCTAATAAAACTACGTGTGTAGTTGTTTTGGGTTAGAATTGTTACACAAACAAGAAAAAAATGAGTTTCTTAGTTTTTAATGCAAACTACATATTTAGTTACACAGTAGAGAATGAATCACTGTAAGATTTGCATTGTGTTCATTTGAGCGATTTGTTGTCTTTTTTTTTTTTTTTTTTTTTTTTTGGGGTTTTTTTTTTTTTTTTTTTTTTTTTTTTTTTTTTTTTTTTT